TAAAGATTACGTGGGAAATATATATAAACCAACAGCATAATTCCTGGCATATAATAAGCACTCACAATGATGGTCATTGTTATTAATATTAGTAATTTTGAGAATAGGATTAGTTTATGAATATTAAAACTTTTAATCATAAATGGATAGTTTTATTTTAGCTTATTTTTATCTAAGTCTTTATACGAATTTGAAATCATTAAGCAAGTATATATTTATAATTATATATATATATATTATTAAATATATTCATATTTTTTCTAAGCAATCTGATTAATTCACATTTATTATGAACTTATTAGTGCCCCTAATATTTTCAGTCACTTTTGAGCTGGCATTACTCATTTTTTTTTTGTTTTAGTCAGCCTTCTCTTATACTGTGTTTTCAAACATCTTGTCATGTAAAGATGTGGCCTGAGAAGTTGTCTCTTTCAAGGCAGTTTCATCCTGTATGGGTTTTTGAATTCACCATTCATCTTAGATCATTGGTCTTTTTTGTTTATCTTAATTGTTGATTTCTTCTTGTTGTCAACAAAGATAACAAGCCAATGTAATATGTTAACTATTTAGAAATTTAAAATAAGAATTAAAGGTTTCAGGGCCAGACTCTCCTCAAGATATCTAGGATCTTACCAGAACCACTCATACCTCAGAAACATATTTCATTCACAACACAGATAAAATTACTTTTTGTGGAAAATAATCTGATTAAACACCATAGCATATTTTAAGTTTATAAAAAGAAATAGCAATTGCAGGGTTCTAGGTACTTGATGTCCATATGAATGTTATGTTCTGTCCTGTTAAATATATATGCCAATCTGAGGAGTCAAATCATCATTTTATAGTAGAGCTTAAAATAAAAACAAAGAGAAACAGTCAAAAAAATTTGTTGTTGATTGAAATGCAGCTAAAATTTCTGAATGTATCCATCTTCACACAGTGGATTTTCTTGTCAGGAGAATTAAGGTTTTTCAGTTTACTAAGGCCATCTTTTTCTTGAACCTCTCAGCTTGAACAGATACTACTCACAATCAATACGTGGGTCTATAATTCTCCTTTATCTATGTGAGATGAAACTAACTGAGATTCTCTTCCCACCTTCCCAATTATTTAGGAGAAGTGGTTTAGACATCACCCCATCATTGTTGGTGAATATACAGGAACTCTGCAATAAAACTAAGGCCAGTTAGCCTATGTTAGGAGAAATTAATAGGCAAGGTACTTATTTCTTTTGTAGACTTGAAAGAAAACTTTAAGAACTCGAGAAGAGGGAAATAAAAGGATTAGTTAAAAAACAAAAAACAAAAAACTCCAGAAATAGAATAGGTAAAGTATACCAGGGAGCACAGAAATACAAGCGTTTCATGGAGAAGCCACTGACTCCTTGTCACCTTTACCCCTACCATAGGCCCAAGAGGACTGCCAACCTATCAGTCCTCTGTAAACCCCAGAATCCAAACAGGGTGATGTTTATTCACTAGATAACTAGAGGTGAATATAACACCCACAGTCTCTCCATAAGACCTTGAGACTATCATTTGAATTATTGACTGCAGAACTTCATCAGAGCCAGTGTGAAATTGCTTCAGGAAATCCTGAGTGGAGACGGGTTTGCTGTTGGGGTAGGCTCTCCACACTGCTGGACTTCTTTCTATGAATTTTTCTTCCCTGTACTAAAAAGAGAAGCCTGCTCTGACAGGCCACAAAGGAAAGAGGAACTATCAAGGTTAAGTTTCTTTTATGATTAACTTCTTTATCATAAGTGACTAAATTTTACATATTTGAATGAAATGAAATCCATTCTTTCTCTGTATGATTAGTCTATTTTACATTAAATGTTAATTTTAGAGTTGCAGCCCATGAGAACAATCTTATTTCCATTATTTTCAAATTCTTGAAAAATATCTGTTTTCCTCCTTCAACAAGAATTTGAGGTACAGTCAGCTGTATTTTTCACTATAGTTACTAAAATAGCTCTTGGTCTTCATTGTCACAACGCATGAAGGTCAAGACTGAGTGTGACTAAGACTATGTGTTAGAGAAATATAACCACTAAGACAATGCAGGAAACTACTCCCATTCTAAAAGGTTTGAATTTGAAACTCTTTATCCTTTAAACAAATATTAATGTCCTAAAAAAACTAGACTAGATTAATCAAAACTTTGCTATCTAATATTACTCTTCAACTTGATAGTAGAAAGCTGAGAAATGAAGATGAAGGTTCTCACAATGTCTCAGGATCAAGACCAACAACCAGAATTTCCCCCTGACACCTAATTTGTTGATCTCTGTTTAAGTAATCCAACAAATATTTGCCTAATAGAATAAATATTTGTTGGAATAAAAACAATCACTTTATGCCTCACTTTGGTTTCCCATAAAATACATTTCATTCTCTTTCATTTGATTGCAATTTCTTTAACGTTTTGACTCACTCATCTATGACGCAGATAGTAAAAAATACATATGGCACAAAGTCCCAATCTTGTTTCATCTTGCTTGGGTTATGAGACTGTTAAGGTAATGTGTGAAAATCAAGCACAGAGACTGCACTTTTGCAATTTCCCCGTTTCAGCACATGTCTTAAGCAACATGTGGCCTAATGGCTTCATTATTATCGTGAGTTAGATGTGCTCAATATTGACTCTCTACCCCAATCATGTTCTGTTCGCCCTTAACATTTGAACTTGCTGGACCACTCTGGGTCTGTATTCTCAGAATATTATCAAATAGAAATGGATTGATAGAGACATGGATTGTTAGACACTTGTCATCTAAGATTTTTAGAACATCAAGGTGTTCAACACAGATTGTAGGACCTCAAATGTCATATTTGTCTTCTAATCTGCAGAAAATATTTTTCCTGAGAAGAAAGATTAGAAACTGCTCCTTCTGTCTGTAATGTTGAAAGAAAATATTCACTTTATTAACATTTTAAATATTTCTCATGGCAGTAATGATGGCCAAATGCTAGCGATCATAAACTGAGATTGTTATATAAAATAGTATGACAATTTTAAAAACTGCATGCAATTCGGATATGGGCACCAGGAATGTGAGTGTTCTCTATTTGTTAGTTATTATTATGGAAATACAAACAATAGTAAAAGCCACCCCAGACATATTTGAAATTTCCTGTTTCTTTAGGATCCACAAAATGTTTACATATTTTTTTCCTAAAATGACAAATCACATAATAAGTATTGTTTTTATGGGTATCAGTTTTTATCTTCAACAAAACTCAATCATATAGTATATACAAGCATTATCATTCCCATTTCTTTGAATGCATTGAACTAAATTTTCATTCATAAATCAAGAAATGGGGGTATAGAGGGTACAAATGTTTCAGTTAAGAAACATTTTTTCATGACTTTCAATTTTTTAAGTGTTGGAATAAAATATACCTTAGGTTACTCCTTTGACTGAAGCCCAAACTGAAAGTTTTAAAACAGGCATACTTCTAGGGAATTACCCAGCCTCAGCATTCTCAGGTCTTTCAGTGTTATTCCCCTGTCAGTGTTTTGAAAATACTGACATTAATTCTCAAAAATATAATTCTACTTTTAATATCTGGTAGAAGAAGCATATTACCTATAGACTTGACAAGTGTAGGTATTCAATTCTATTGCAGAACAAAAACAGTGTTTCTTTTTGTTGTTGTTAGTCAAGATGCTTGATGTATTGTCAAATAGCATGTAACAGACAACTTCATGTTTCTTACATGAATGAGTGAAATATAAACTCTAGAACTGGACCTTGTAGAGGAGGAGCTTAGAGGTGCGAGGGAACATTGAAAAACAGCCAGTGGATTTGGCAAGCTATTGATTAAGAATATGGCAGTAGTGCTTTTCAACCCAGGAAATGTATAAACAGAAATCTGGGTTGATTTTCTTAAACCGGTCCATTTTGATTGAAGCAGAGAGTATTCTGAGAGTCTCCTTGTGTTAAACCCTCCTTCACAAGAAAGCTCAAACTTCTTCTTTTTACTGCAGGATATCTTGGTTTTGACTTTATTATAAAACCCCCTAGTTTGATGAGGAAAATCTTTTCAAGTCATATATCTCTATTCCAGCTATAATAGAGAGTGCTTCATTTGAAGGGATTATTGACTCACCCGATTTTAACTGGAATAGCCATCATCAGGACATGGCATTGCGGCAGAAAGACATCTGTTTAATTGGGTGTTCACTTAAATGATTTCCTTATTAATCAGGGCTTTGCAACACAGCAATATATTTAAAAAGTAACATAAGCATAGTCATTTATTCTTAAGTCTATTCCCATTTATATTTTAATGAATTTTATCTGTATTCTAAAACACATGCATACTTTAGTAGAACTAATTATTATTTAGTATAACTAATATAGTTTACATTGTAATTCATTTTAATCTCTAACAATGTTTATTTACAAACATAAAATTGAGTACCCTGAGTATTCTGTTATCTTTTTTTTTTTTTTTGTAATAAAAATTCAAGGCTGGGGATGTGGCTCAAGCGGTAGCGCGCTCGCCTGGCATGCATGCGGCCCGGGTTCGATCCTCAGCACCACATACAAACAAAGATGTTGTGTCTACCGAAAAACTAAAAAATAAATATTAAAAAAAATTCTCTCTCTCTCTCTCTCTCTCTCTCTCTCTCTCTCTCCCTCTCTCTTTAAAAAAAAAAATCAAGGTCTCAAGTTTCATTTTTTGGCTTACCCATTTTCTTCCCTAAAGTTATAGAATGTGTTATAGGTTTTTATCTTTATATAAAGTAAGAAAATGAGTCTTATTCTGAAATCACTGTGGCCCTTATGACCATTGCAGGCATGTTAAAGTGGAGATTTGAAAACCTATTTCAATATATAGAAGAGACAGGGCAATAAAGAGTTACCAAAGAATTACGGTAAGAAAGGAAAAAAAAAAAAAAACTTTACCCATGTAGATGTTGAGGTCATATCCTGACCAAAGGAGGAAGTAACAGATCCCTAGGTTTAAACTTATCTGATGCTGTACATCACCTACGGCACACTACTGACTCTTTTCAGTTGTTTCTGTAACAGCAAAGTGCACTCACTAGGAGTAGTCTGAATTCAAAATGCTGAAGAGAAAACCATCTAATGTTTCAGAGAAGGAGAAACATCAAAAACCAAAGGTAAGGTAATTTCATATACAGTTTAATAAACCCAAACCTTTTACAGAAAACACACACACACACACACACACACACACACACAACGTTCTTACCTATCAGTCATAAGTCAATTTGAACATAGAGTTGAATACTTCATGGCAAATATGGGAAAAACTTGAATTACAAAGTTAGATGTTAACATCTGACAAATATTGTTTCTGCAGTTTTGTCTTACATTTATGTGATCATTTACATATATAACTGATGTTTGAGTTTAGATCACCAACTTCATGTATATTAGTTTGGTGGTCTCTGAGAGGGTGATATTATGAAATCTTGCACAATTTTTAGAAATAAGAGGTTGTCACTGTCTATTTGACAGTCTGCTAAAGGACTTATCACTTAAGAACTTAGCTTATCTTAATATATTTAAATATGATTATAAATAAGGTTGTAAAATGGAGATACTTTTATTAAACACATTGATTTTTATGTTAAAATTTTAATAGCTTGTTATAGAGATGTTTTTCCTACTTACTCTTTTGAACTAACATTGTTACTAGAGAGGATTGGACTGTGTTTTGAGAAACATCAAAACACCATCAATTGGTGTATTTGACAACTTAGTATTATGTAGAATGTTATTTTATTCATTTTTTTGTCATTGTTATTCTATTCATTTCATTGTCACTTAGGACACTGGATAACAAAATTTAGATTCTATTTTAGAACTCTAAAATCATTAAAACATAAAACAAAATATATATAAAATACCAATGTCAGAAATTTTCTCTAATACTTGTACATTTCTAGAGTTTTTTATGTAAATAAAATTTTTGATTTGTTTGTGAGACAGACAGTAACTGAGTTCAGATGTCTTTTTAAAGTATTGATTTATTGTTTGCTATTAAGCTTTATTTGTTAGGAACCCATTTTGAGAGAAATGGGTTGGGAATTGATTGTGACCTTTTGAATTGATAGAATATTGAACAAGGGTCAATATTTTGAAACTCTGGAATTTACTACACAACAACTCTTAAGGAAACAAGTTAATTATTTCCTTTTTATGGAAACTTAAAGTAAATGATTTTTAAAATCAATTCTTTCTGACATAAAAATGTGATAAAATGTAGACAAGAATCTTTAGTTTAAGATAAAGCTGAATGATTTTTGTCTCTTTTTTCCTAATAAAAATAAAAATTAGGTTAACATTTTCCAAAGAGTACAAAAACTTTAAAACCATTACTTATACTTCTAGGTAGGACTAATTTTATATAAAATTTACTTTATGAAATTCAAAACTGTCCATTTTCAAAGGACAGTACTAATTTGGGGAAAATTACAAAAGTTGATATTTAAAATTTTAAGTTACACTATCTGATGAACACTGTATTCTATAGTGAGTTACTATTTATGTCAATGAATTTTTCAAAATGATGCTTTATCATCATCATTTGGCTTAATAGCAGTAACTATTGTAATAATGTAAAATATTATTCCTCTTATTGACTGCCTCATTCATTAAATGAAAATATATTTGATGAAGCATATGTCAGAGAATAAAATATATGCTATAATATAGTCATATTGGAAACATTATCTTTTTATGAGTGATTTCTCATTTTCTTTAGACAGATGATTTCATCTATATGAATTTAAAAGGATATATGAGTTGATATGCACAAGTGTGTCTTCCTTAAATTCCAGCTCAGCTTGATATTTTCTTTTTAATACAGAAGTAGTCTTTTTCCAATTATTATGTCTTAAAAACAACTCCTTTTAATTCATATTTATTTTATTGTGCAAATTTCTCTGCACATTTTAGTACAAAAATCAGGGTCCATAGGGATGACAAAGATGGATGTTATCATGATCCCTACAGATAAATGGCTAAGAGAAAGAAGACAGCAAATCTCTTGATATACTGAGAGAGAGCATAAGGACTATGCCTAGATAGAACCACCAAGAAACTGGTATGAAATATGGGAAATCACTGCCTACTGATGACAGTTGCCATCTCTTGACATGGGAACTATTTGCACGATATTCTCAAAATTTCAGACAGGGAGTTCTTTTTTAAGTTATTAGTATAAATGCTAAAGTAGGTAATAGTGATAATGTTAAAAATGAGAGGACTATCATTTAATCATGTAGCTCCTGTTAAGTCTCATACATTATAGTTCAGGTGACCCAGTACCCAATTCAAATGCAATGCATATTATTCTTAATGTTACTTCAACTAAACATTATGACACTATTTATTTAAAAGGAGAATCAATGGGTACTAAGCAATAAATATGAGTAAGAAATTCTGGGGTGCTATTGCACAGTAGGATGAACATACATTATGATAAAGTACTATAAATTTCAAAAATCTAGAAGGAGTTTGAATGTTTTCATCATAAAGAAATGACTAATGTTTGAGGAGACAAATATGTTTAACTTGATTTCAATATTACACAGTGTATACATGTATCAAAACATCACATGATATCCATAGACATGGAAAATGTTTATGTTTTTATGTATCAGTTAAAAATAAATTGAAATTGAAAGAGGAAATAAGTGGAGGACTTCATTAGTAGTATTTTCATATAGGACCTATGGTTGTGAGAAGGTTAAAAGCCTTCATGAATGTAATATGCAGTAATGGATTTTATAAGAATCCTATATTCAAAATAATATACTATTTTCTTACATTCACAATATTTATTAATAAAATATCCATGAGTGTTTTTAAAAAGTAACCATGGTCTAGGCATACAGCTCAGTAGTAGAGTGCTTGCTTAGCATGCATGAGGCCCTGGATTTGATCCCCAGCACTACAAAATAATAATAAATTACAGCTTCAACCACACATCTTCTAATAATTTTCTTAAAAAGTCAATCAAAACACCAAATACAATTTTGCCACCTGTAATTTTATGATTAATGACATTTTTTTCCCTTTATGCTTCTCTTTCCCTATATTGGCTATGGGTTCTTTCCTTCAAATAGTGAATAAGTAAGACCAATAGAATTCAATTTTGTAGCATAGGCTGAGAGTCAGAGACCAGAGATATTCTGTAAGGCAATTTAAAAATCTTTGAAAAATTATTATATACTAAACTGGTTATGTACTGGAAAGTTAATAAAGTTTAATGTATGTTATAGAGGTAAGTTCCAATTTAAAAAGAAAATTGAGGAGTACTGGTTAAATATGTGAGATGTGTTAAAAAATAATCTTGTTTAGCATATTGTACCTTCCTTCTTGTATTCTGTTTTTTAGCTAGTTATCAATGATGTTCAATGCCCAATACTAACTGTAATTTTAGAACTTTAAAGCATATCCAGTGTTTATATTGAATGAAATATTATCATAGTACATTCTACAAATGCTTAAATTATTGAACATAATTTTGGTTTTTTTAGCTACTGTATTTTTGTTGCCTATATTTATTGATAGTTGATTATATTCCAATTGCTGTGTTCACAGATTTTGTACACTAATTTATTTAATATTTATAACAACTCTGTGAGAGAATCACTCCTATTTGGTTTCATAAATGAAGAGCCCATAACCTACAGAAGGTTAATTACCTTAAACAAAGACACATGATGAGATGAAGAATAAAACTGTGTCATGTGGAATACACATGATGGCAATCGCCAATATTGCTTTTCTCAATTATCCTGTCACCATTGTAAGCAAAAGAACTGTTGATGGTTTCCCTGTTTCTGTCTTCATTGTCAGATAAATTCAAAGGGACCAAGGAGAGCATTATCTTTAAGAGCCTTTGTACTTCAGAAAAGAATTTAAGGGTCCTTCATGTCTTTCTCCAAATGCAGGAGATCAGTCTATGAAATCTCCCAGGTATCCATCCACCCAAATTTAAACAAGTGGAATTGATAAAACAAAAACAAAAATTACAACTTTCTTATTATTGAACTAGTTAAAAAAATGGGACCTAATGCTGAACCAAGCTTAACCATGCATTTTCCTACTGGAACTAGCTTAGCACCTTCAGTGTAGTAAGCTCTCAACAAATATTTGTAAAGTGAAGAAAGTTTCTTGAGTCTACTACATTAAGCTTGGTTCAAGGGTGGACACTTACTGTTGCTGTGTACTTTCATAATTCTTGGTAGCTGAACTGTTAGTTTAATGTAAAAAGTTTGTGCATAAATAGAACTGTGATTCCTTTATCGTTTTATTTTAAGAATTCCACTATAACAAAGGTTGTGCAAGAAGCCCTAGAGAGGCTTATTGTTACATAATAGCAGACCTTTGTTCCAGGTTAGAGAAAATGGTAGAAACTTCTAAAATAAAAAAGGAATAGACTGTACAAACAAAACTTGGAAGCTTTAATTAGATTAACTTGGCCTTTATTTGGCCAGGACTAATGATGTGTGTTAATAAATTTTAACTGAGGTTTTCTTTGAGTTAAGGAAATTCCAGTACCACTGTTATTGTAAAGGGAAACATTGGAATAATGGCACTTCTTGAAATAGCTTTTTTTTTTTTACTGCTCTTTTTAATCTAAAGTGCATACTAAATGAGACACCATTAGTGTCACAGATGCTAATTTTCACTAGCAATGACTGAAGTGGCATTCTTTCCCATTTGCATTTGATCTTAGCAATGATGAGAGGTGATGAGTTGATTATGAGCTGTTTTCACTGTACTGCCCGCTGTGCAAATTTATGCTCCTAGACAAGGATGACACATAGTTGTGGCATTAAAGAGCTTTCTTCATTGCTTTTTGTATCCAGAATGTTAAAATGTATTTTAACTCTTATGTAACCAGGTATAAAAAAGAGAAGTATTTACATGTATTGGCATTTACTTGAAGCCAGGAACTTACAGGAGGGGTTTGTGTTCATTAACATTTTAAATTTTCTCCAGACCCTTATGATATGGGCATTGTTTTTTCTTCCAATTTATAAGGGAGAAAACAGTTCTATAGTTGTGATATATTTTGCCTATGGTATCATAGCTGATAAAAATCATTGATTTGTGATTCATGGAACAGTTTTTCTGCTTT